ACTCGCCTGGCGCGTTCCAGCCTGGGTTTTCGTTTGCAATTTTACTCCTCCAGAACTAAATTTACTCAAGTTTTCGTATTTTTCCATGATCCCTACATCCTTCCTGCTAAAGAAAGTAATAGCAGCCGTTTCCCACTGTCTTTTCTTTTTCTTTTTGTATGAATTTATCTTTGGAACATTTGAGAGATGTAAAGTTGTTTTCAGTTTTAGTCCCTTGAATTGCTGGAACTGATTAAGATGTATATTGTCACAATGTGCGGATTGAAATCGTGACAAACTGGCTTGCAGATTGCAATGCTTATGGGAAATGCGGTGTGCAAATTTTTGCAGCCTTCAATTTATGAGAGTATAATTCGAGTCAAGAAATATCCATATCTTCCTGATTTACCGCCTTCCCGAGTCAGGTTATTCTAAATTGCCGATGAGTATTTGTTGCTTTACACTCCTACGATTTTCAAACCTTCCAAACGTTTTTCCGGATTTCAACCTGAGCTAAAAGAAGCGGTAGCAACCTTGCAGATTTAGCTTTCTTGAGTCACGGCCCCATTTCCTCGGCCTTTTTTGCACCACTTTGAGTGAGTTTCTCTATTTTTTACATTCAAAAATGCAGTTAGGCCTTATGTTGCAGCTACGGCAGATTACCGTATGATTGCAAATTTTAGTGTGCATACAGTAAAAGTTGAACAAATAATGGTGAAGGATGTTATTTATATAACGAAATCCACAACTTATCGTGAACTTCGTGAAATACTCCGCTTTGCACCAACGCTAAAAAGCTTTCCCGTTGTCACCGATCGCAGTAAGCTGCATATGTGTTGATGTTTTCCACTGTTCGAATTGTGCCCCCAACCTGGACTTTACACATTTTTGCATCACTGATGAAGTGCAAAAGCGCATATTGTCGGGATTTTGTATGTGTGTGCGTGTGTGTATATGTATGTATGTATGTATGTGTGTCTGTGTACGCGTGGATCTTCCAATTGAGCAGAGAGATGAAAATTCTACGAATGTGCTTGGTCCACGTTTAGCCTCACAAGCATAAAATTTACTCTCAGGTGCGTCTATGTTTCATGTAC